TTCCCCCCAATTTCCCCCCAATTCTCCCCCCGTTCCCTCCATTGCCCGTTTTCCCGGTTTCTCACCCCGTTTCCCGCAGCCGCAGCGCAAGCGCCCTCGCCGGGACTCGCTGGGGCGGCGGCGGCCGCAGCCGAGCGGCTCCGAGGAGCGGAACCCGCGCACGGACGGCTCCGACAACTCCAGCTCCGACAACGGTCAGGGGCCCGGCATTCCGGCTGGAAACCCCGGGATTGAGCCTGGGGGGAATTCCGGTTAAACACCCCGGGATTGGGGACTGGGGGGAATTCCGGTTACACACCCCGGGACTGGGGACTGGGGGGAATTCCGGTTACACACCCCGGGACTGGGGACTGGGGGGAATTCCGGTTACACACCCCAGGATTGGGGCCTGGGGGGAATTCCGGTTAAACACCCCGGGACTGGGGACTGGGGGGAATTCCGGTTACACACCCCGGGACCGGTTAAACACCCCGGAATTGGGGCCTGATCCTGGACTGGGGGGGAATTCCGGTTAAAAATCCTGGGATTGGGGCCTGATCCCGGATCTGGGGGGGAATTCCGGCTGGAAATCCCGGGATTGGGGCCTGATCCTGGATCTGGGGGGGGAATTCCGGTTAAAAACCCCGGGATTGGGACCTGATTCCGGATTTAGGGGGAGAATTCCAATTAAAAATCCGGGATTAGGACCTAATTCCTGATTTAGGGGGAGAATTCCAGATAAAAATCCTGGGATTGGCTCCAAATTCCCAATGTAGAGGGAGGAATTTTGGAATTCCAGTTAAAAACCCCGGGATTGCCCCCAGATTCTTGATTTAGGAGCAGGAATTCCGGTTAAACATCCCAGGATTGGGACCTGATTCCTGATTTAGGGGGAGAATTCCAGTTAAAAATCCTGGGATTGACCTCAAATTCTTGATTTAGGAGCTAGAATCCCAAAATTCCTGCTCAAAACACCCCAGGGTTGGGACCAAATCCTCATTTAGGGGGAGGAATTCTGGAATTCTGGCTCAAAAAACCCCAGATTGGCCCCAAATTCCCAATTTAGGGGCAGGAATCCTGGAATTCCGGCTCAAAATCCTGGGATTGGGACCTAAATCCACATTTTAGAGGGATGAATCCCAGATTTCCAGTTAAAAAATCCCGGGATTTATCCCAAATTCCCGATTTAGGGGGAGGAATTCCAGTTAAAACATCCTGGATTTATCCCAAATTTCCAATTTTTGGGGCTGGATCCTGGGATGCCAGTTAAAAAGTCCTTGATTTATCCCAAATTTCCAATTTTTGGGGCTGGATCCTGGGATGCCAGTTAAAAAGTCCTTGATTTATCCCAAATTTCCAATTTTTGGGGCTGGATCCTGGGATGCCAGTTAAAAAGTCCTTGATTTATCCCAAATTTCCAATTTTTGGGGCTGAATTTTGGATTTCCAGCTGAGAAAATCCCAGATTTTTATCCCAAATTTCCCATTTTTGGGGTAAATTCCAGTTAAAAAATCCTGGATTTATCCCAATTTCCCAATTTTTGGGTTTTTTTTTCTTTCCAGAGGAAGGCACGGAGGGAGAATCCGGAGAAAAGGAGGAATCCAGAGGGGTGAGTGAGGAAAAACCCTGGAATTTTGGGAATTCCCAAAGGAATTTGGGTGGGGAGGGAAAATTCTGGGATTTTGGGATCTTGGGGAGGGAAATTCTGGGATTTTGGGGAATTCCAGAAGGATTTTGGTCTAGGGAAGGGCTGGAAGTTGAATTTTTTACAGGAAATGTGGGAATTGCCAGAATTCCCAAAATTCCCATCCCTGAGAGATTTCCTTGGGAAAATCCCCCAAAATTTTGGGATTCCCAAATCCAAGGGAAATTCCAGAGGGAGAAGAATTCCCGGGATTTCTTTAAATTCCTGAATTTTTGGGTTTTCAGGAAGGAGAGGATGAAGAGGGAAGAGATTCCGAGAAAGGTGAGTTGGGAATTCCAGGAATTCCTGGGTTTTTTCCAGGAGTGGAGGGAAAAGGGAAATCCAGGGAATTTCAGGAATGTGGGGAGGAAAATCCAGGGAATTTTGGGAATTTGGGATCAGAGGAGGATTTTGGGCTGATTTCCGGGGATTTTGGTTTTCCTTGGATCATGGGTTGGATTTCATTGGAATTTGGGCTGGATTTCCTGGGAATTTGGGTTGGATTTTCTTGGAATTTGGTTTTCCTCGGATTTTGGGTTGGATTTTGTTGGATTTTGGACTGATTTCCTTGGAATTTGGGTTGGATTTCCTGGGATTTTGGGCTGGATTCCCTTGGATTTTGGATTTCATTGGAATTTGGGCTGATTTCTATGGAATTTGGGTTGGATTTCCTGGGATTTTGGGACTGGATTTCCTGGAATTTTGGGTTTCCTGGGATTCTGGGCTTGATTTCCTTGGGTTGGATTCCCTGGGATTTTGGGCTGATTTCTTTGGAATTTGGGGCTGGATTCCCTGGGATTTTGGATTCCCTGGGATTTTGGCCTGATTTCCTTGGGTTGGATATCCTTGGATTTTGGGTTGGATTTCGTTGGAATTTGGGCTGATTCCGCGGGATTTTGGGCTGGATTTTCTGGAATTCTGGGCTGGATTTCCTGGGATTTTGGCTGGATTCCTGGGATTTTGAGCTGAATTTCCTGGAATTCTGGGCTGATTCCCTGGAATTCTGGGCTGATTTCCCGGGATATCGGGCTGGATTCCCTGGAATTCTGGGCTGATTCCCCGGAATTCTGGGCTGGATTTCCTGGAATTCTGGGCTGTTTTGGGCTGATTTCCCGGGAATTTGGGCTGGATTCCCTGGGATTCTGGGCTGATTCCCTGGGAATTTGGGCTGGATTTCCTGAAATTCTGGGCTGGATTTCCTGGAATTCTGGGCTGATTCCCTGGAATTCTGGGCTGAATTCCCCGGAATTCTGGGCTGAATTCCCTGGAATTCTGGGCTGACTCCCTGGAATTCTGGGCTGATTCCCTGGGATTCTGGGCTGAATTCCCTGGAATTTCGGGCTGGATTTCCTGGAATTCTGGGCTGATTCCCTGGGATTTCGGGCTGGATTCCCTGGGATTTTGGGCTGATTTCCCGGGAATTTGGGCTGGATTCCCTGGGATTCTCCCATTTCTTAGGGATTTTTCCCCCTTTTTAGGAATTTTTTCCCCCCTTTTTAGGGATTTTTCCCCCTTTTTAGGGATTTTTTTCCCCCTTTTTTAGGGATTT